TTATGTTATTTTTTCTGATAAAAAAATAAGAATTTCAGATTGTTACTTTATAACAGTGCTCTAAAACTATACTTTAGGAGCAAATTTTCTCTGCTGCTTTTTTATTTATTTATTTATTTTTTTACTGATACATAAAAACATTAAATACTGCATGTGTTAATAGAGTGCTGGGTTTTTCAGCTTTTTGCTGCTGTGACTGCGCAAGAAAAAAAGTCGAGGAGAGGAGGAGTGTATTTTCAGCTTGCAGTTTGGGAGGTTCAGTCCATGGTCAACAACTCCATTGCTTTGGAGGTGACAGAATATCATTATAGAAGGGCATGGCAGAAGAGTGCTGTTCCACACTTAGTATCCAGGAAGCAGAGAAAGAGAGAGGAAGGAGCTTCAAGAAAGATAAATCCTGGGCTGGGGATGTGGCTCAAGCATTACTGCGCTCGCCTGGCCTGCGTGGGGCACTGGATTCCATCCTTAGCACCACATAAAAATAAAATAAAGATGTTGTGTCCACCGAAAATTGAAAAACAAATATTAAAAATTCCTCCCTTCTCTCTTCTCTCTCTCTTTAAAAAAAAAAAGAAAGAAAGATAAATCCTTGCAAAGTACATTCCTCATGACCTATCTACTCTAGGCATGGCTTACCTGCCCACAGTTACCACCTAGTTAGTCCACTCAGATTATTAATCCATTAAATGGTTTCATCCACTCTTCAGTTTACAGTTCTCATAATCTAATCCTCTGAACATCCCTGTATTAATACAAGAGCTTCCAAAGAACATCTCATGTTGAAACCATAACAGGTACCATGTGGTGATTGGATACATATATATACTTTGTGTAATATTTAAATCAGGCTTAAATAGCTCTGTTTTCTCATGTATTATTTCTTAACATTTTTATTAAGATACAACTATACCCAATTTATTTATATGTTATCAGTGTCTACTAAGAGATATATGAGGGAATGGGAATAACTGTCAAAGCCCATACAGCCTACAAACTAAAATTTATTTATTGTTTGGGCTTTTATAGAAAATATTTGCTGACTCTTCAGCAAATAATTTTGAATTTTAGTTGGTTACATGAAAACTTGTCTTACAATACAAATAATAACAGTTAAAATTTACCGCCTGGCAAACACTCTTCTTATCTTATTTCTACTACTTTTATTAACATTCACCATAACGTATAGCTAAGAACTACAGATTACCCCAAAATCTAAGTTAACAAGACTAAATTACATTCTTAATTAACTTTAGAGTATGCAACTTGCTAGTAAGTGGCAGCACAGGATTTTAAGCCACAGATTGAGCTCTGCTTCCTATGTGTTCACTACTGTGCTATCTCCAAACCTGTGAGATTATTGTCTCAACGTTTTTTTCCTTGTGTTCACTGACATCTTCATGTTTTTTTTTTTTTTTAATTACTGCATTCTACTTTCTAACTTAGGAAACCTCAACATGTATGGACTAGTATTTCTCTGATAGTGTATTATCCGATGTGCTGGTAAAATGGTCCTTTAAAAATACGATCTGATATGCTTACATTCTACCTGATTTCCCCTGTTTTGAGACATCCTCATACTATTTACTACCACAGTATAATAACTGTAAGTATAATACCTTTGTGGCATTTCCTGGTATCATATAATGGTAGTTTATTTGTGCTTTTTTATACCTTTGAAACTTAATAGCTAAAAAATATTTATTATGTATTTATTATGTAGAACACTTTTATTTATTATGTAGAACACTTTTTTGCAAACATCTCAAGGAGTGTTTTCCCCCTTGGTATGTAAAGTTGTACTATTTATTTGATAAATGCAAAGTAAGTTACTTATATCAGCCTCAGGAGCTGACACTACTCAGGCCCTTCAGAGGTCTTTGGCAACACCCTGTACTCATGTACTGGGTATTGGACATTTTGCTGCTCAGAGTTGGCAGCTTTAGAGATTTTGCCCTTAGCTCTAGAAAATGTAACTTTCTAGGTACATATTTTAGCTAGATTTATGTAACATATTCCTGCCCTTGCAACCTGTAACCAGTGACTGATTAGTGTGGGATTGTGAAACTCAACTCCTTTGACTTAAGGAGAAGCATTCAGGTGTGATTTACACTCTGCATCTCCTACAAGATCAGATAGTCTGTAAGACTCCTTCTAAATTGCCACTCCAGGCTGGTATCTGACTATTTTCCATCTTGCTTCTTCGGTACACTAGTTTCTCCTGGTTTTGCTACTGGTAAGATCTTCCTGGATATTGTAGTAGGACCTGGACTTGGGGACTGAATACATTAGGGAACATATAGTCAAAAAATTAGGGTGCTTTCAAAGGTGATATTGAAAGATAAACAAATGTTTAAACAAATAGAAAAAAAAATCCATAAAACAATAGCAGCAGAAGCATCAAAAATTATAAGCAAAGGATACCTGGCACCTTAATTTCACCATACGGATTGAAATTTAAGAAAAATGCAGACATGACATGAATCTTAATGGTAGAATATTTTCTTAATCTATATAGTTTTTCAAATTTTTTCTTCCTCATTTTTTTCATATTAAAATTGCTTTGGACACAATTTAGATGCTTGTGTGTGTGTGTGTGTGTGTGTGTGTGTGTGTATGCACGTATGCACTTCTATGTGTCTTCACATACAAATATATGTACACAAACATGCCTGTGTGTCTATGTGTATATATGCACCTACACAGAAATATGCATTCCCACCTGTTCATTTCCTCCTTTTGGTAAAAAAAGGGAAATAAGGAAGGGAACACAAACATATAATATTTCCATGGTCTTTATTCTATTTTCTCAAATGAAAATTATGTACTAGAAGAAATACTGCATTTTATATTAATTGGTTCTTGGCAAATTAAAATAGATTTTTTTATTTTATATATTAATTATAATATGTATTAAAGGTATGCTTTTGTAGTTTCTTGATTTCATAATCTATTTTTAATTATAAACTTGAGAATCCTAATGAATTGAGAAATTTTAAGAGCTTCAGCAGATGTGTGACTGATGAATGCATCCTCTTAGGATACCTCAGAACCTGGGGAAATCAAAGCATTACTCAGTAAGTGGATGGAGGAATACCCCTCCCACATTGCTGTGCAAAGATATGCTACATCTTCTTCAGAGTGCCAGACTTTTTAGGAGTACATAGGGCACACCCTTGTGGTCCAAAGTATTCAATATTCTGAAGTCAATGTGCATAGGAAAAGGTTCCCCACTTGGGAATTATGTCAGTTTCCCTTCCTCAGATGTTTTTCCCAAAGTAAATTTTCTTCTGTTTTTCAAAAAAATCATATTTTATTCATATCTTATTATTCTGCCCTACAGTGTAAATTCCTGGACATTATAATATTATTCCAGTCAATAATATATTTACAAAGAAGAATGGAGAAGTTTCAATGCCAGAATAACAAAGCCCTTTTCAATTTAGGTTATTCCCATATCATTATTTTAACAAAATTGAAGATCAATTTAACCTACATATTCAATTATAGAAAAAAATTTTTATGATAAAGCAAAGTAATTTCATCAACAATTTACGAAAATTTGAAGAAATGTTATATAACTATGAAAAGTTTGTTCAATTTATTTCTACTTATGTGTAAAGACATATCACTTTCAGTGCTTATGGCTATTAAAAAAAAAGGGAATGAAATTTATACTGGAATTCACATCTCATTGTGAAAATAAATAACATGCATTCATAGAAAATGGTTGGAAAAACCAAACATTTTCCCATCCAACTAAATGCTGTGTTTTCAAAATAATATTTTCATTTAATATTTAATAAAGATAAAAACTTATGAAATATTTATTTGGTTTTGATCAGTTGTGTGCTACTTCACAATATTTCTTAACACCAAAATGCCTGTGCAGCTGCCTACAAAGATGCAGTTACATACGTGCGTCTATTTCTGTACTCTCTTCTGTCACAAAATCTGTCTTGTTTTATGTAGTTTTATAGAGAGTCTTGATGTTATGTAGTGTGGATACTTTAACTCTCTTCTGTTTCAGAGTTTTTTGGGCAATTCCTGTTTGTCTTTCCTTAGAAACTGTAGAATTCAGAATGTAGTTTTCTATCAACATTTTGCCTGGGAATCATATGGGTGTCCTTTATAGATAAATATAAAAACACAGCTGACATCTCTCTATGTTGAATTTTCTAATTCATGAACATGCTAAATGCTGAAAATACTTAGTAGGTGTTTTCTATTCCCCTTCCCAGTTGTGAATTATTTTCTTTTCCACTCTGCTTTGTAATTCAGACACTGACTTTTATAGAATGCACCAAGGGCATCCATGTGAATTATTTCCCATTTGGCTTCCATTGTGAGAGAGCAAAGGATGAAGGATATTTTCCTCTCTCCCTCAGGCTGTGGTTTAACAGTAGGTAATTTTCTTTATCAAAGGCTCAGGTATTATTGGATGGTCTCTGATTTACATTGGTCAATTTAATGGTTTTCTGACATGATGATGATGATGACGATGATGACGATAATGATGATGATACAAAAGTGATAACATTCAATAGAATCATTCAATAGATTTTGAATTGGGTATTTTTTCAAAGCTAAGAATATGCAACACCACACTTTCTTTGTGTTACTGTGCAGTGTCACAGAGCCTCTAGTTTCAGTCAGCCATGTGATCATCACAGGAAATAGCTGACACTACAATGTGTTCCTAAGCCATGCTGTTCAGTAGGACAGTGGTATTAAGGGAATTTTGGACTTTTGATATTTACAACTTATGATGGGTTTCTTGGGACATAACCCCATTGTAAGTTAATTCCCCTTGACCTACCAAATCACTTATTTGTTCCACTTACCTCTGCTAAAGCCTTTGAAATTCATGTTCAGTTAAACTCTTAGTCCTTTGGAACAGGTCATCACTTTACTGCTATGATAAAGTCATTGCGTATGCATAATGTTATTTTAAGACACTGAATTTGCATATGCATATATACACATACAAACACACAGAGCCTCTACTGTTGGTAAATTTACTATGTTGTTTGTGACTGAAATTGCATGATCAGGATCCTTTAATATGTATTTTAAAATATGACTTTATTTTGCAGGATATAGCTATGTTTATGTCTTGAGCATGATATTTACTTAAATTAATAGATACCCATGTTCCACAAGTTTTTGAACAAACACAATCTTATTTTATGTGCTATGAATTCTAAAACTGTACAGGACCTATGATAGAATATATGAGGTAAAATTATTTCTTCTACTATATCTATAAATGACAAATGGTACTATCATAAATTTTAAAATGTAACACGTTCCATAAAATAAATAAATAAATATTGTAGATGTTATCTAAAGTGTAGTATGTTCTTTGTAATATTAAAATTCATCGGTAAAATTTAGCTGATTAAGGTATATACTATAAAGTCACATTAAGAAAGGAGGAAGTTATCACAAAGTCTGTTATATTGCTTTCAAAGAGAATGTATGTATTGTGTTGAAATGGGAAGTATTAAATATTCCAAATGGTCTTCATTGTTGTTAGAACTTTGAGAAGACAGAATACAAAATAAGTTAACTTGAGAAGATAAAAAGCTAATGTCATCATTTTTCCACATATCTAAATTATTACTGATGAGAAACTCCTAATTAGCATTTTGACCTTTAAGCAGATAATTCAGTGAAACTTTCATTAGTAGTAGATCAAGAAGAAACTGCAAATTAAAATGCAATTTTCTGATTTGTTCCAAAGCCTGCTTACTGAATTCAAGGATATCCATCTATAATCACATCATTTTCATTGCCAATAAAATATGCTTATGGTAGAATCATTCAAAAAAGATTTTTGCAAAGAATATGTAAATAACAAAGTTTAAGAATCTAGATTTTACCTTTTCTACATTATTCAGAGAACTAAGTTTACTGGGGCTTATAATGAGTCAAAGATAGAATATATTCTATTTGTACTACCCCACCAAATTTTATCAAAGATAGAATATATTCTATTTGTACTACCCCACCAAATTTTAAATACTGTTTTCCTTTTTCTATCCAGGTATTGTTATTGAGATTGGCAGTGAAATGACTTTTTAGGCAGTACTGGGGATTGAACCCAGGACCTCGACATGTTAGGAAAGCACTCTATTGCCAAGCTACATCCCCAGTCCTTGTATAATTTTTATTTTGAAAGAGGACTTTCTCACTAATTTGCCCAGAATGTCTTCAAACTTGCCACCAGCCTTTAAGGTATGAGCCCCTTTGCCCTACTGACAGTAAAATAAGTTTTAAGACAGAAATTAATAGGTTTTTCCTTCTCACAAAAAATTCCACCTATTTCCAGAAAAAGGAAAGAAAGAAAATAAGTTTGTTTTCAACCATTTTTAGAGGCAGACATGAAAATAATCAATTTCATATCTGGGTAATTCTTTTGTCTTTTTTTTTCTGTATAACTGTGTAAACTAGTTTTTGCAGTGTCAAGCTTACAATGTCATGCTTATTGCTAGCGGTCTTTTGGAAAATAGCAAAATATATCTTACTTTTGGAGATCAGTTTTTCATCCCTGAACAAATTAAAGGACTACTAATGACAGTAAACTCGGATGCATGACTCTGGCCTTCTGGACTTCCTCAGTCATTTCTTGAAGATGGCTGTTTCTTGCTATTCCTGTCCCAAACCCTGTTCCCTGGCACAGTGAAGATCTTTGAACCACATCCCATAATGATAAGGCATTATATGTGACTGAACCGTGGAATGGAGCAACATTGGAAAAAAGTTTGAATCTGATTGTCTTTATTTCAAGTCTTATTTACACAAATTTACTACAAGAAAATTTAAAAAGCAAAATCCATTTGATGACATCAAGACTAGAACCATGATATTAAGTAGCAGTTAAAAAATTTGAGAGTAAAAGTTGGTGCTGATGAATCAATGAAACACACAACGTATGTAAGGCTTAAGGACTAAAAATTTCAAGGCACCCAGAGTTTTTAATTTGTATTATTGCAGAGTTAATTTTCAGGTATTTTGAAATGGGAGACTTACAACTATTTAATAAATGATATCTTAGCATGAGTCAGAATATAAGAAACTCACCTTTTTTCTCATGGAAAGCATTTAACAAATTTTTCCTACATTTCTAAAAATGAAATAATCTTTATCTGGTTTTTAATCCTTTATATAAAATTGATAACTAGAATCAAATATAATTTGAGAAGTTCTTTATATGGTTAGAATGCCTAAATATTTTCACCACAACTTTACCAATGAACAACTTTTTAAACATTTATCACTTGGCTTTAATTACTTATTGCTTCTGTTTTCTTTCTCTTTTTTTGTATTTTGCATTGGTGCCAATGTAATCAATATGTGGATTTCATGTCTGTCAGCAGAGTTTATGAACATTGAAATGCAACCTAAGATTTTAAATTAATTACAAATTTCTAAATATCTTTAAAGAATAAATATTAAACTTTAGATGTGATATAGATATGATTTCAATGTATTACATATATAAATTTAATTTGCTTTGGAATGTTGATGTCAAATTGTGTGCCTAGACTATATGAGAATACAGACTAGTGAAGAGTGACATTGAAAACTGAAAATCTTTGAGGAAAAAAAAAATTCAAAACACATGGTAAAGGTATGATGGAAGAACTATGATATAGGTTATGGGCAGAGAAGAATGAAAATAGTAAAATTGGAAGAGAATAAAGACACCAGTTTTTTTTTAAAGTAACAGTCTGTTAAACAGACATATTTGCAACAATGTTGAGCAATCACTAAAAAATTTGGTTAAACAGATATCCTAAGGTGATGTTTATTAATGGAGATTTATTGTACTTATATAATGAGCGAGAAGGACAGTTAATAACATTTGCTGAAGCTCAGAGGAAATTTCAATAAGATAACCACTAGCATGAGGCAATGCAGCTCTACTGTTTTGTCGCAACATTTCTGAAGGTATGCACTGTGAATTCACTGGCTTTCTGTTTCTTGTTCTTTTTTCTTCGTTATTCTCTCCTTGCTGCCATACTATTATACAAAGCAACTGTTCTTTCTACTCCATCGTGTCTCTAGGTACATGGCTAATAACACTCCTTGACTTCCAGTTACTCACATTTGAGTGAATGATTCTTTATTTTTTCAACTCTACTAAAATTTTAAATGTCCCACATGTAGATTACCAAAGGGAAATCTCATTGAATCCATCTAGCAACGATTTCCTTGAAGAATTCCCAATGACCTGAGGTTTTGCTTCTTGCTACACTCATGTATTACGTAACTATATTGACAGGCTCTGATAAATGTGCTGCTAGGTTATTTTATCCTTGTGTAAACATCACAGAGTGTGTGGATGACATAGCCCACAACACACATAAGCTACTATATGGTCTAGCTCATTGCTCCGTGGCTATGAACCTGAATAGAATGTTGGTGTACTGAATGCTACAAATAACTGTGATGCAATGAAATGTATATATGCTTCTAAATATATTTAAACAGAAAAGGTACTGCAAAAATGCTAAAAATTTTTTAAAATTGCATACCTTTACAGGGCATTTACTATTAGCAGAGCTTAAACACAGGCAGTGTGTTTGGTGAGTCAGTGAGTGGTCAGTGAATGTGAAATTGCTGGACACTACCGGACACACCTCCAGACTTCCTAAACACTCTATTTGGACTATGATATTTTTATGTAATTATTTTCTTTCTTCAGTAATAAATCAACTATAGCTTACTATTTTTTCTTTTTGTAAATGTTTGAATCATTGTAATTCAACCTCTCAAATAAAATTTAGCTTAAAAATATTGTGCAATTATACAAAAATATTTTCTGTCTTTATGTCTTTGTTCTATAAACTCATTATTAATTAAAATTTGTTTCTGTACTTTAAAAACTTTTTTGTTAAAACTAAGGCGCACACATACACATTTTCCATATCTTAGGCCTACACATTGCCAGGATTCAATATCCCTGTCTTCCACCTCTAGTCTTATCCACTAAAAGTCCTCCAGGGACAATAACAT